TTTTTTTTTTTTTTTTTTTTTTTTTTTTGTTAATTTAGAATCAGCATGGTGGAATTATAAAAAAGATGGTTGATATAATTGAAAAGAAAAATAAAATACATAAAAATTCAGTTTTTATAAAAAGGTATATAAAAAAACAACTAATTTTATATATATAAGAATAATATATATATATATATATAAGTTATAATTTTTTGTTAAAAATATTTATATTTTTATAAAAAATTGTGGTAATTATGCCTTAGTGAAATGTATTAAAAAAAAAAAAAAAAAAAAAAAAAAGTTTCTTTATATGTTAATACATTATTAAAATTTTAATTTAATTATAATTTCCATTATATTAATATATTTTATTTATATATTTTTTTTTTTTTTAATACATAAAATTAATGCTTGTAATTACAATTTTGATAATGTTTTTTCCATTACTTGTTACACAAAAACAAAGGTGTAATAAATTATTTTTTGATTCATTTTTTATAAAAAATTTTTTAAGATATAACTCATTGACTAAAAATACTTGTTATAATAAATACTACACATTTAATAATAGAAAAATTTCAACTAAAATGAAAGGAGATTCTCCTTTTATAGCAGTATACGTAACAACACCTAACAAAGATGTAGCTGAAAATGTAAGCAAAAAGCTTAGCAAAAATGCTTTTTCTTATATTTAATTTTAAAAAAAAATAATAATAATAATTTATCCATTAATTTATATTATGGAAATTTTTTACTATTGATCAATTTTTTTTTTTTTTTTAATCCCTTTTTCTTTTAAATTTTGAAAATGAATTTTTATTAAAAAAGATAATTTTAATTATATATGCAAAAAAAAAAAAAAAATAAAAAAAAAGGAATATTTTCTTTTTTTAGATTTCTAATGTATTATTAAAAGAAAAGTTGGCAAGTTGTGTAAACATAATTCCTGGCATCATAAGTCTATATCACTGGAAAGGAGAAATAGCTGTATTAATTTTTATAAAAAAATATAAAATTTTTCGTTATTAATATTATTAATTTTTTAATTCAATTTAATATATATATATATATCTTTTTTTTCTTCATTTAAAATGTAAATATATTTGATGGATTAGAAAGATAATGAAGTCTTAATGATGATTAAAACAAAAAAACATCTATTTCAGGAAATTGTGAATTCAGTGAAATTAAACCATCCATATGAAGTACCAGAAGTAATGTAAAAAAAAAAAAAAAAAATATATTTTTTTCTAATTTATTAATACATAGCTTTATTATAGGTTATTGCTATTCCTATACAACATGGAAGTGAAGTAAGCTTTAAATTTTATACAAATATGTCTTTATAAAATTTTCCTTTCGTAAATAAATATATACCCAAAAAAAAATTATATATATATATTTTTGCTATTTATTTTTTTTTTTTATGAAATATATTTAATCACTTTATTAAAATAAAACACTATTGAACTTTTATAAATATTATTCACATAAAAATTGGCATTTTATTTTTTATATATTAAAATCAAATAAATTAAATGAAATAAAATAAATTCATAATTCATAAAAAAAAAAATTTTTTTTAAGGAATATCTTAAATGGGTATCAAACTCGGTGAAGCCTATTGATAATCAGGAAGGAAGATAAAAAAAAAAAAAAAAAAAAAATATATATTGAAATTGAGAATTCAAAATTCATTTATTATTTTGAAGAAGTATAAAAATAAATTTTAAATTACTTTAAGAATTTTTTTTTTTAACATTTTTTTATATATATTGTCTGCGAATATATAATTTTTTTTTTTTTTTTTTTTTAAATTACGTACATTTTTTATTTTTCTATAATTTCACACTTTTTTTTATATATATAATCTTTCTATATTAAGAAAATTCATAAAACAAGTTGTTATAATAAATATGTGAAGTTTATGATTATACACAAATTCATATAACAACACAAGATAAAAAAATAAATACCATATATATAATTTTTTGCGAAATATGCATTTTTTGTGCAAATTCCAACTATAAATTACATTATGAAAAAAGTAAAAAATGAAATTTCAAATTTCCTTTCCTTTGATTTAAAAAATAAGCAATCATTAATAAATTTTTATAAAGTTTTAAATAAAGAATATATATGTGGAGAAATTCATAAAAATTTAATCTTAAATCCTAATCAGAAATCCTCGTTTCTTTATTTTGAACTCAGGCAAAATGAAGTAGTATTAGGGTTTAAAGATACAAATAATGATTTATATCAAAAATTACTTAAAATAAAAGATAGCAAAATATTTGGAGATGATATAAAAGAGGACGAAGATATTTCACATTTAATTAAAGACATAAAAAACTACTCTTACATTCAAGGAGGAGCCATAATAACATTTCATAAAAAGTTACTAACAGATTACATAATCTTAAAATTAGAGAAATTCAAAGAAATAACAGATAAATAAATTATAATTTTAAAAAGAAAACAAGATAAATAATTCATAAAAAAAAATAACTTTAAAAAATAGTGTAAATCATACATTTTTAATGTAAACAGGGAGCATATACATCTATATCGAGTTAAAAATGTTAAAAAATAAAATAACGGTATTAAAAATATAATCTATAATTAAGAAAATATTAAATAATTTTAAAAAAAATAAGGCATTTTATATATTTTAAGGAATATATTTTGAAAAATATTTTACATATATAGACAATTTTACATAGAAAAAATACACAACTAAAAATGATATCTAAAAAAAAAAAAAATAAATAAATAAAATTATAAGATAATAAACAAATTATACATAATGAATACTATAAAAATAAGCTTAAGTAATATAAATTAAAACAAAGTCATTTGAAAGTTTTTTTCAATATTATTTGATATTTACAATTCATTGTAATCGCTTATATAAAAAAGGAAAAAATAAGGACATTTAAAAAAAAATTGTGAACACGAAAATTACTTAAAAAAAATGAAAAAAAAAAAAAAAAGAATAATAATAATTAAAAACAAATTATCTTTCTTTTTTTTAAAAAAAAAAAAAAAAAAGTAACAAATTTTATAATGAAAATAAACTTTTTTTTTTTTTTGTTAAGGAAATAAAGTTAAAAAAATGTAAATTTGTTTTTTCATTTTTTTTTTTTTTTCCAAAGACTAAGTATATTTCGTAAATTTTAATAGAACATTCCTTTTTAACTCTAAAGGTATTTTAAACTAAAGATAATACTTCATTTTGATCAAAAAATTTTAGAAAGTTGAAGAAAACATATTAATGTCCTAAAAGTAAATTTTTTAAATTATATATATTAATGCATATGTACAAAATTATTATTTTTATTTTTACAATTTACCTCTGCTTTAGACTCCTCATGTAGTGTAATATCTAAATTTGTGTTTTCCTAATGAAAAGAATAAAAAATTCATAATCTTTAATCTTAAAAGTATAGAAGTGTTGTATATATATATGATGAATATGAAACTACGTGAATGATAAAAAAAATGTACTAATAAACATATGTGAATTCATATTTATAATATATATATACATATACAAATGAAAATTTATAGGAAACAACATTATAAAAAAATTTTTTTCTTTAAAAACAAATATGTGCAACTAAAAGTACGAAAATGTGTAATAATGCAAAGGTATATATATAAAAAAGGATATTTATAATTGTATATAATAAACAATAGTATTACTAATGAATTACTAAAGATGTCCTTTCTCCAATAAAAAAATATGACTGTGCATGTTTTATCATCAATAGACCCCCTTTTTGTTGCTTCATTCACTACTTCTTCTGCTGCTTGTTCAGGCTTTTTATGTTTGTTTTTCCAAACAATATCAATAATTTCCTTATCAGTTAATACATTTAGTATTCCATCAGTAGCTAAAACAAGAAATGAATCAAGGTCGAAATCAATTGTATATACACTGATAAATGGCTTACATTGAACTATTTTTCTTGGAATTTTATAAGATACATCACCAAATGATCTGGATGTAGATAATGCTAAAAATGTCTTTTCTTTGTTTTTACTATTTTTATCTTTCTGTTTAGTAATAATTCTATTTATTCCATTAATGTTTGCAATTATTCCTCCACATTTTAGTATCCTTATTCTTTCTTCTTGTAAATCAGGTTTATGTCTCAAAGACAGTTTTATAGGTTTTCTATCATGGCATATTAATGCACCTGAATCTCCACAATTTGCACATACAACTTTTAATGATCCATCATCATCTGGACCATAAATTAAAACAACACAAGCAGTTGAACCATCTTTGTAGTCATATTTTTTTGAGAGCTCTATATAATTTTTATCAGTCATATCAAATCCCTTTATGCAGCTATCGTATAGTGCTCGTATTTCTACACTTTGTTCATTTAATTTAACACTTTTTTCTTTGAATTTTTTTTTGCATGTTATTAAAAAAGATTGTCTGAATTTGGCAATTATATTTGTTTTTAAATGAGTCATTACATATCGTGCACAATTAGAACCCCCATGACCATCAAAAACTCCACTAAAAAAACATAAACCATCACTTTCAGATACATGATTTAAATCTAATATATCTTTAGTTATGAAAAAATCTTCATTTTCTGTTCTATTATGCTCCCCTATTTTACTAAAAGTTCCACATACTAAATCATCCTCTAAAACCATACTAAATTCTTCTATTGTTTCATCATTCTTTTCTATTTTTGTCAAATTTTCTGAAAGACTAGAATTTTTCTCTTTAACAGGTATATATTTCCTATCATACATATCTTCTTCATTAATGCTGTTATTTAGCATATTATTGTCTGAATTAATACTAGTTTTATCATTACATGAATTACTTTTAATAAAACATTCGTTAAATTTATTGTCCACATTACTTATAAATTTTTTTCCCACAGAATTATTGGATTCCATTTCTTCAGAGCAATTATTTACATTTTCTTGTAAAGAGTTTTCATATTTAATAAATTTATGATTGTGTACATAATATATTTCCTGAGTTTTTATGTTAAAATAAAGATTATCTTTAGTATTATATAACCATTTGCAAAATTTATGAACAAGCCAATCATCAATTTCATTTGCTCTGAACCATTCATCCATATTTTCTTCGAAAATTGACGGAAAATTCATTTCATTTTCTGTATGTTCATATTTTTTACTAGAAAGAATATTATTTTCACATGGAATATATAAATCTGTCGTATTATCATTGTTAATATCGCATAGTTTATCGGGAATATTCATGAAATTATCATCTTTATTCATAGTTAATTGATTAATTTTATTATTTATATTGATTCCCAATGAATTATTTAGATTATGATTTACATTATTTACTGGAAAATTATAATAGTTTTTGTCATTATTATCATTATTATAAGTATTATTATTATTATTATTATTATTATTATTATTATTATTATTATTATTATTATTATCATCATCACCATCATTTTTATTATTAATTATATTATCATTATTATCATCATCATCATCATCATTTTTATTATTATTTATATTATCAATATTATAATTATTATTATTATTATTATCATCATCATCATTTTTATTATTATTTATATTATCATTATTATCATCATCATCATCATCATCATTTTTATTATTATTTATAATATCATTATTATAATTATTACTATTATTATTATTATCATCATTTTTATTATTATTTATATTATCATTATTATCATCATCATCATCATCATCATCATTTTTATTATTATTTATAATATCATTATTATAATTATTACTATTATTCTTATTATCATCATCATCATTTTTATTATTATCATTATTTATATTATCATAAATATTATTGTTATTATTATTATCATTATTATTATTTCGTATTTCATTTTCATTCATATCTTTAATTATTTTAGTATTATTTTGAGATTGCATTTCAAACTTGTTTTTTGAACACTGAAATACTTTATTATTATTAATCTCATATTTAATTTTTTTGTTTACATCGTTATGCACATTATTATTTAACATGCTTATTTCATTCAACTGATCTGAAGATTGAAGCATTTGCTTTAATTTAGGTTTTTTTTTTTCTTTTTTTATATCATAAGTTGCATTTCTCTTAATTTTATAATCCATACTTGATGTACCATTTAATGATAATGTTTTTGATTTATCATCAATTAGATTATGAAATGTTTTGTTACCATATTTATCAAAGATAACGTCCAAATTAGCTTCATGATAATCTTTAATTATATTATTATTTTCATTACTTTCAAAAAAGTTTTCATTATTATTTTTTTTATATTTACTTTCTCTTGAGTTAATATTATATTCACATAATTCATTTTTATTTTCAATTCTGTTTTTAGCATTTTCTGTGTTAATTTTTTCGATATGAAAATAAGATATCTTTTTTAATATATTTTCACCACACTTACCATCTGATTTTTGCCTTTCTTCTTCGCTTTGATAACACTGCTCTCTATTTTCACCAATATATTTCTCTCTTATGCTCTCTTTTTTATTTTCGTCTTTACAATTATTTTCAGAATTGTTTTGTAAACAGTCTACTTCATCTGTATAGTTTTTATCTGGTATCAATTTATTTTTTTCATTTCTTGTTTTTTTTTCAGTAGTGTTTATCATATTTTACATTATATTTTGAATTTAAAATAAATTAAAAAATTGAATTTAAATAAAATTAATTTGCATAAATGCATATATTTTTATATCTGGCATAGGACATAACTAAGAACAAATTTTTTTTTTAAATATTAAACACTTAAAAATTAGGATATTTAAAAATAAATCTATATATATAATGCTAAATATATCCACTTTACTATTTATTTTGAATTACTTTTATGTGAAAAATTCCTGAAATGTAATTAAAAAATTATAAAAAAAAAAATACTAAATTTAAGTAAAAAAGAAAAAAAATTTATAACAAAAAGTAATGAAAAAAAAAAAAAATAAAATAAAACATATAAATAAAATGAAAGTAAAAGATATGTAAAAATAAAAATAAAAAAAATTTTGTATAAAATTTAATTAAAAATAAAAGCAAAATAAATTAAATTTCATATAATTTTATAAAAATAAATTCAGAAAAAAAAAAAAAATTACATTAATAAAATATGAGATAAATTTTCGTAATTAAATATGCAAGAATTTTCATGAAAAACTTAAAATTTTATAAAAGCATTATATTAATTTAAAAAAAGTCTAAAAATTTAATTATAAAAAGTGGAAATTAAAAATATTTGAGAGATATTTTTACATTATATGTAACTTGTTTTGTGTATTTATTTTTTATTTGTTTCAATATAATATGTTTTATTAAGTTGTATTGTGATATTTTATAAAAAGACTTAATTTTTAAAGTATTTTTTACTGTTTTATTTTAATTAATTTTTTTTTTATTTTTTATTATTTTCAAAATTTAATCATATTGTTTTAATAATTACATTTCTTTAAATATTAATTTTTAAAAATTTTTACCTTTTTATTATTTATTTTAATAAATTTATATTAAATAATAAAAGTCCTTTGATGTTTCAAATACTATATGTATATTTTTTCTGTATGCATAATTTTAAAAATTCATAAATAATTACATTTATCTCTTAAAAACTTATATTTTTATGATTTTATATTCTATAAATATCTTTTTATATTAAAAATGAAAACATTAATTAAGGATGCATATGTATGGAGATGGAGTAATAAGACAATCGAAAATTTAAAAGATAACAAATTTAATTATTATGATGGAGAATTTGTAAAAAGAGATTTTTTAATAGATAATAATAAAATAATATTAAATTTTGATGTAAATAATGAAAAAGATATAAATATTTTGAGTTGTAAGAATAAATATATTATTCCAGGTTTAGTTGATTCTCACATGCATTTAGCTTGGACTTCTGAAGTTAATGAATATTGTGATTTAAGTTATTGTCAAGATTACAATGATATAAAAAATACATTACAAAAATACTATAATAAAAAGAGAAAAGAAAGCATGAATAATGAATACAAAGGTGCAATAATAGGATTAGGTTATAAGTCTTTCAATAAAGAGGGAAAAACAATATTAGATAGATTTAAATTAGATGAATTATTTGAGAACAATCGAGTGGTTATATTATCCGTATGCTTACATTTTGCTGTTTTAAATACGAAAGCTTTAATGCATTACGAATTATTAAAATATGAAAATGAAGGAAGTATTATAGAAAACGTATGTTATTATAAAAACGAAGAAGAGTTAAGAAGTAACAACGTAAATAGAGGGAATAAAGTTCGAATTTTAAATGGTATTGTTAAAGACTTATTAGTGCAAGACATTTACTTAAATCTTTTAAGTGAGAATATGAATGAATTATTAAGAATTGAAAATATAAGAAAACTAATAAGTCAACTAATTAAAACTGGTTTAACATCTGTTCAAACATGTGATCAGAATGTCGGAGAAATATATAATAAGTTAGATTCACAAAATCTTCTTGATATGAGAATATTTCACACAGAATTCAGTAATTTTATATTTGAATACCTGTTTAAATATTACAATATAAATGAAAATGAAGTAAATTGCTATAAATATTTATTGAATACTTTGCAAAATGACAAAAACAGAGATCTCGTAATAAAAAAATTAAGAGAACGTTTTTTTTTTTATGATAATAAAATTGTAAGTGAAGAAAGTAATGACATTTGTAATAATAAAAATGAGAGAAGTTTATTTAGTTGTAATAGAATCAAATTTTTTTGTGATGGAAGTTTGGGTGGAAAGAATTGTGCTGTCTATAAGCCATTTAGAAATTCATTAGGAGAAGTAAATACAAATTATGGGGACCTTACGGAACCATTACTTTTATCATATAAATTAAAAATTGCAAAATTATTAAATTTACGATTGGAAATGCATAGCATAGGAGATAGATGTGCTGATTTTATTTTAAATGAGGTCTCATATTCACACGAAAGTTCAGACAGGCTGATCATTGTACATGCACAATTGTTAAATAAAAATGTTATAGAAAAAATAAAAAAATTAAAAGTAATAATTAGCTTACAACCATCATTTTTACCTAGCGATCATAATTATATACAAAGTTATATTGATGATTCATATAAAGAATGTTCATATCTTTGTAAAACATTAATGAATAATAATATAGTCATATCAGGTGGTAGTGATTCTCCAGTAGAAGTGTATTCACCAATTAAAGGAATTTTTGATTGCATGTTTAGGCAAGTAACGCATGTTTTACCATTAAGTTTTATAGAAGCTGCTTTTACGGATGACATATTAGTTGAAAAAAAAAAGGAATTGGATGATAATATAAAGAATATTGAAAGTATAATTGCAAATACATATGATGAGAAAGAAAAATTATCATTTGCAGAGGCTTTAGCTATTTATACGATAAACCCTGCTTATTTAGTTAAGTCAGAATTTTTCAACGAAGATAATAAAATAAAATTAGGTGCAATAGAAGAAAATTCCTGTGCAGATTTTGTTGTTCTTGATAGAGATATTTCAAAAAATAGTGAAATTAATTTATTAACTTGCAGAATTAATCAAGTTTGGATTAATGGAGAAATGAAATATTCTAATGAAGCATGTGAATGAAAATGTATTTTTATATATGAGATTTTATTTTTATTTATTTTTTTTTTTTTAATGTTTTGCACTATATTCATATAATAAAAAATTTTGATTTTTTATTGTTTTTCCATTATTATAATGCACAAACTTTTTTATAAAATTTTATGATAATACTTTTTTTTATTGTCTAATTTTATCTTTTTCATTTATTATTAATTAATTGTATATTGTTTAATTATTTTTGTTATATCCTTTAAATTGCATTCTATATTTTTATTATCTTTATTTGAACTTATTGAAGAATCTGAAAAACTAAATATTTCAAATTATTAATAAATAATACTTAATTATATTTATAAATTTTTTTTTTTTTTTTTTTTTTTTCTTTATGTTTTTTTCTATTATTACTTTCTTTTATTATCAAGATTTACAGGTTTAAAATATTTTACATTGTATTGATAATTTCTCAATTTTTTATATTCCAACATTGTATGGTTTAGTTTTTGATCAATTATATTTGAAGATTTATAGATGGTTTCATCTTTTGGTTTAATAAGAAATTCGCCATCTTTATTAATTAAGGATGAATATATTATTTTTTCAACTTCTTCATTAAAGTAGAAATTTATTTCATTTTCATAATTATTATAAACATCCTTATATTTGTCTAAATCTTTTTCTTTAGTATTGTTCCAACAAATTAATTCTCTAATAGTATACATATCGCAGAAAACATTACTATCCTCTTCTAATAAATCAAAATCAAAGCCTTCTATGTCATTAGAGATTTTGTTTGTTTTTGTTTTTATTTTTTTTAATAAATTCAAAATATCTAGTTCTTTACACATTTTCTTTATTTTCTACTTTTTATTCTTACTTTTAATTATTAATATACAATTTCATAAGTTTTTTCTTTTAATATTTTTTTTTTTTTTTTTTTTTTTTTTTTTTTTTTATTTTTTTTTTTCAATTTTTTAATTTTTTTTTTTTTATATTTTTTTTTTTTTTTTTTTTTTTTTTGCTCTTATTTATGCAATAAATCTTTTTAGTCCTTATTTAAGCTTTATAATTTATTTAAAAGAATAAATTTAAAAAATAATTGAATATTTGTATTTTAAATATTAAATGTACTTTTATTCATATAATAATGTAAACAATTTTATAATTAATTATTACTTTATTTAAAAAAAAAAAAAAATTCAAATATGTAAAACTAACATTTTTATAACAAAAAATATTCAAAAACTCTATTATAAAAAAGTAAAGAATTAAATACTATGTAAATATAAAGTATATTTATAAAATCCAAATTAAAATTTAATAAATTAAATATATATATTTAATTTATATAGAATAAACTACTTTAATTACTTTTTATAAATAATACAAAACCGAAAGTTTTTAGGTATATATATAATTAATTTAGGAATCTTCATTAAAGGATGAGATATTAAATTTTCTTGTTTTATCATAATCTTTTATTATACTTATACCGCACATTATCTAAAAAAAAAAAAAAAAAAAAAAAAAAAAAATTATAGTTTTTATATTAATAAAAAAAAATTTAACACACATAAAATAAAATGAAATATATAAATATATAAAGTGAAATTTATATAATATAAAGATTGAAAAAAAAAAAAAAAAAAAGTTTAATTTACTTCATTCACATAGACTACTATAGCTAAATCAGGCTTAGTTAAATTTACACAATAATTATTTCCAATACAATTATCTAATACAGCTAAAACATCTTTTTTAGTTAGTGTTTTTGTGTTGGAGCATTTATATACTAATCCCCATGAAACTTTTTTATTTGATTTATTCTTTATATCTTTTGTAGTATTTTGTATTTTTTTTTCATTGTCTTCATTTTTTCTTTCTTCATTTTCTTTTACACTGTCTTCATTTTTTTTTGTTGCATTTTTTTTTTCACTGTCTTCTTTTTCTTCATATTCTTTTTCATTATCTTCACTTCCTTTTGTTGAGTTTTCCTTTTCATTGTCTTCATTATCCTTTATTTCTTTTTCATTGTCTTCATTATCCTTTATTTCTTTTTCATTGTCTTCATTATCCTTTATTTTTTTTTCATTGTCTTCTTTATCCTTTATTTCTTTTTCATTGTCTTCTTTTTCCTTTATTTCCTTTTCATTATATCCATTTTTTTCTTCCGTATCTTCATTTTTTGTTTCTCCTTCTATTTCTATTTCTTCTGGTTCTTTTTCTTTTTCTCCTGTTATATTTAATAATTTCATTATGTGAGAAACTGTAAAATTTTCTTTTGCACAAATTCCATCAATAAAGTTTTCCTTAATTAAAGGAAGAATAGTTTTTATAAATGGAGATAAATGAGGTTTACATATGTAATCAAATGGAATAATTTTACAAATATTTCTTAGTCTATATTTTTCGTTTTTTTTTTGAACACACAAAAATATTTGTGTAACAATATCCGATGGATTTTTATCATTTATATCATTAAATTTAATTAATGCAAAATTTTTTACTATATATCTGAGAGGAGAAAATCTGTTATATGCAGAATTTATTTTACTTATTTCATCATTTAATTGCTTTTCTACATTACTGCTTTTCATTTCTGAATCAAACTTAACATTATTTTCATTATCTTCTGTTTCATCATTTTCGTAACTATTTGGATAATTTATTTTTAAAAAATTCAAAAATTCTTTTATTGCTGCACCCATTTTTCGCGGATTTACAGGGGATATCAAAATTCCTTTACAGTTATTAGTTAATATTTTTCTTCTCTAAAAAAAAAAAAAAAAAAATTATAAATGCTATAGGATTAATTCAATTTAAAATAATAGTTACAAAAAAAAAAAAAAAAATTAACATTAACAAAAATATAATATAATAAAATTCTTTTTATATGTATAACATAAATATTTTTTATTTTCTTTTATATATACTTTGGAGGCATGTTTACTACTACAAAAAATGAATTGATTTGTTCTTTTCACTTTCTCATATTCCATCGTTGCGCAAATTAGAATATACAGAATTATAAAAATGTAAGAGACCTTTATTTTAAAAGATATATAGCTTTGTATTTTTAAAGGATTATATATAATTTTTTTAATAATTAAATATGAAGTTATAAATAACATAAAAAATTTCTTATAATTTTAAAAAAAAGAAATTTATAAAAAAAAAAAAAAAAAAAAATCCTTCAATTTAAAAGAAAAAATAATTTAACTTTTAAAAAAAAATATTTTGTTAAAAGAATAATAAATAAATATAATTATAATTAAGAAAAAATTTATTTATATAAATGTAAGTAATCCATTAAAAAAAAAAATATATAGAAGTTCATATTTTATAAAATAATTAACTATTTATAAAGATTATATTAAGCACTTCTAAAAAAAAAATGTAATGATGTAAAATTTTTTTGACAGTATTTTGTTTTCCTATATACGGAAAGAATAATATAAAAAATTATAAAAATAATAGTATTAAATTTATAAAAAAGTATATAAAAAAAAAAAAAATTTTTAATTCTCATTTTTATAATATTCTGTATAATTAAATATGAAAATTTGATTTCATTAAGATTTTATATTTAATGCTTTTTTAATTTTTTTATTTCTTGTATTTCGGTTGAAATTTTATCTAATAATATATTATACAAAAAAATGAAAATAGTTTATATGAAAATAATTATAAATATACATGAAACTTTTTGAATATGATTCATAAATATCTTTCATAAAAACAAAATGAAGATATATAAAAGAAAGAACAATAAATAAATATATATATAAGATTATGTATTTCTTGATTGCTTTACTATGTAACGAATATATAGATATAAATAGTAAAGAAAAAAAAAAGATAATGGAAATGAGAAACTGGTTATTTATATGTTATAAAAAGATAAGGAACAATAAAAATATGATGATTGGTTTCAATATATATATATATATATATATATTATTTATATTATCTTACGGTTTTTTTATAGAGTAAATAAATATAAATATAACATTAAATTTATGAAATATATTTTTTTAATCATAGATTATAATGTATTTGATGAATAAAGAATTAGTTAAATTAATAATTAATGGAAAATTAATAGAAAAAAAAAATATAAATAAAAATATTGTTAAAAATATTTTAGAAAATATCATATTTAACTTTGATTCTTACAAAAAATTAAAAAATGAAATCGAATTATTAAAAAATATTTCTCTTTATACAAAAATTATAAATGTTAACAATTTTTATTTGCAACATTTATATGAAAATGTAATAAATCCATTATTAAAAGAAAACTTAAATATATCCATATTACCAAATATTATACACACATATAAAAAAAATGAAAATTTTTATTATATACTAAAAGAAATAAATGATTATATTATTAAAAGTATACAAGAGAATAAGTTAATTATAGACGATATAAATAAGTGGGTTCATATTTTGCAAGTATTTTCTAAGTATAAAAGTATAAATTTTATTCCATTTCTACAGTATCTTTTGACAGTTAAAAATGTAGAAAAAAATACAAAAGTTAATAATGATGATAACAATAGAATAGAAAAGAAAGAATATAATATTATTCAAGTTAATCAATGTTATGAATATAATAAATATAAAAGTTCTATTTTATTAAATAATGTGGATTACAAAGCATTAGAATCATTATCTCCTAGATCATTAAGTATATTAGTTAATATATTATCAAGAATAAAAATAAAGAATATAAATAATTTAAATTTTTTTCTTTATGAAAAAATAAACAAAAGCTTACATGAATTTAATAATATCGATTTATGTTTAATTGTTAATTCCTTTCATAATCTAAAATATACACATGAAAATTCTTATAAGAATATAGAAGCAGAAATTTTTAAAAGAATTGAATTATTTGATTTTTTCCAATTATCATTTATTTTTCATAGTTTATCAAAATACTGGAATGATAATAAAAAAGAACATTTTTCTATATTATTTATGAAGAAAGTAAAAAAATATTTAAATTTATATCTAATACATAACGATGAGAAATATATTTTACAAACTAAAAATAAAAATTCATTAATTGAAGCAATGCCCATGTTCTTTTTAGCATATGTTAAAACGAGCAATTCTATATTCCCATACTATTTTAGCTATAGTAAGTTGCTTATGTGTCAATTTATGTTTTTAAATAAATATTTGCTTGTTTTAAAAAAAAACTGTTTTTTCAAAAAATACTTTAATAATTACAATTTAATGAATTTAAATAATATTAATCAAACTATATGTAATTTATTTTATGCATTTACTGGATATCTTTACAACATTTTGACTTCAAGTTATTTTAAGGAAAGATTATTTATTAATCATTTTTTTTTAACTTTAAATAATTTTTATCAACTACTTTATTTTTTTATATTATTTTATCAAAACAAAGAACTATTAACAAAAAATAAATTCTTTATATTTCCTTTACACAAATCACAACTTTTAATTTTTTTATATACATATTGGTATTTTATTTTAGATATATATTTTAGCTTGAATATTTATAATTATAGAGTACATTATGGATCAACTGTTAATAAAAATGCTTCAAAAAAACGAAAAAGTAAATTTGATTATTTTTATTTCATTAAATTAATATATATTAGAAAAATAAATATTCTTCTTAAAATTTTGGATGAAGTTAATTTAAATACTTTAATGAAGGAATCATTGTATGCAAGCAATAAATATGTAAGTTCAATATATTTAAATATACTTCACATACTTAACAATTCTAAGAATTTTTCAGATAACATTTCATTCTCTTTTAATAGAAAAATAATAGAGCCATTTACAATTTCTTTATTATGCATATCGAAGTCATAAAAATAAAATAAAAATGATATTTAAGCTAAGGGAAGCTAAAAAAAATCATGGAATTTAAGAAAAACATATTTTCTCTTTTTCTTTTTGCATATTAAATGAAAATAAATATTTTTTTTTAAATAAAAATGTAGATTCATTTACATTTATATGTTAAAACTTTTTTTTCAAATCATTTATAAATGTATTTTGTATAACACCATTCATGATACTTAATTTTAAAATGTTCATATTATATATATATACATATAATCATATTTTTATTTTTATTTGTTTTTTTTATAATTGTTATTTTACCTTTGTTTTTTGAAACATATTTCATCTGTTTATTTGTAATTTATAATATTTTAGAATTTTTATTCCTGTTAGAACATTTTAATATATTTTAAATTTTCAGAACATTTTTAATAAACAGAAAAAAGAGAAAAAATATAATTATGAATAATTATATTTTTCTGTCTTTTTTTTTTTTTTCTTTCTTTTGTTGTAATTAATATATTCATATATTTATTGATCATTTTAAATAAGTAAATTAAGAGCTAATTTGAAAAACTTCTTCATATTTTTTCTCTATAATACCTTTTATATATAAAAACAAATATTTCTTTAATAAAAATTTTATAACATGGATATGTAGTAATATTCCATTTTTATATTCATAGAATTATATACAATAAAAATGATTAATAAGGAAACGTTTAAAGAAAAAAACACAAGATTAGTATTTAAAAAATACTAATATACAGAAAAAAAGTAAATAACCTAACTGTAAAAAAAAATAAAAAAATTACTGTAATCCAAATATTAAAATATTTTCAATACAATTCAAAGATATAAAAGAGTACAACAAAAAAAAATTTATATAAAATAAAAACTAAATATATAGTTATATGTGCAAATACAATATGTATATAAAAAATATGTAATTAAATAATATATAGTAATAATAAAAAATAGGATATATTATTAAAAATATTAAATAAAATATATCATATAAAAATTAAGAAAATATAAAAAGTTTAAATTTAATAGAAAAAAAAGAAAAAAAATTTTAAAATAAAGTGCATATAAAAAAAAAAAAAATAAAATATGTATGAATTAAAAAAAAAAAAAAAAAGTATTGTAAGCATTAAATATATTCATTTTTTTTTTTTTTTTTTTTTTTTTTTTTCTTTTTATATCTTTAAAATTTAATATTTAATTTTTTTTCTTTTTTTTTTTTTTTTTTTGTTTATTTTTATAACATATAAATATATATATATATATTTACAAAGGGTTTAAGTTAAAATTTCAAATTTAGATAAAACTTTTATGTTTACATATATTTATATATTTTTTAATTCATGAAAAAATATGGCAGCAGTTGATATGCAAATAAGATCAAATACAATACCAGAAAAAACAAAAAAAGAAAATAATAAAAATAATTCAAACAAAAATGAGGAAGAAATACAATCAGGTATTAAAACATATTATGAATTGAAAATAGAAGAATATGAATCTATAATAAATAAAAAATTACAAAATAAAAAGAGATTGGAAGCACAAAGAAATGAATTAAATACAAGAGTTCGAGAATTGTGTGATGAAATTCAATATTTATTAGAAGCTGCCTCTTATGTAGGAGAAATTGTAAAGCCGATGGGAAAGAATAAGGTTTTAGTCAAAATTAATCCAGAAGGAAAATATGTTGTAGATATAGCTCGTCATATTAATATTTCTCAATGCACACCTAATACTAGAGTAGCATTATATAACGACTCATATAAATTACATAAAATATTACCAAGTAAAGTGGATCCACTCGTTTCCTTAATGAAAGTAGAGAAAGTTCCTGACTCAACATACGAAATGGTTGGAGGTTTGGACCAACAAGTAAAAGAAGTGAAAGAAGTAATTGAATTACCTGTGAAGCATCCAGAGATATTTGAGTCATTAGGAATATCTCAACCTAAAGGAGTATTATTATATGGACCACCAGGTACTGGAAAGACATTACTAGCAAGAGCTGTTGCACACCATACAGATTGCACTTTTATAAGAGTATCAGGTTCTGAACTTGTTCAGAAATATATTGGAGAAGGTTCTCGTATGGTCAGGGAATTATTTGTAATGGCTAGAGAACATGCACCATCCATTATTTTTATGGATGAAATTGATTCTATTGGAAGTCAAAGGATTGAAGGAGAACATGGAGATTCAGAAGTTCAAAGAACAATGATGGAATTATTGAATCAATTAGACGGTTTTGAATCAACACAAAATATAAAAGTAATTATGTGCACAAATCGAATTGATATACTTGATGAAGCTTTATTAAGACCAGGAAGAATTGATAGAAAAATTGAATTTCCAAACCCAAATGTAGAAGCAAGAATAGAAATATTAAAAATTCACAGTAGAAAAATGAATTTAATGAGAGGTATTGACATGGTTAAAATTGCTACAGATATGAATAACTGCTCAGGAGCAGAAGTAAAAGCTGTATGTACAGAAGCAGGTATGTTTGCATTAAGAGAAAGGAGAGTTCATGTTACACAAGAAGATTTTGAAATGGCTGTAGCAAAAGTTATGAAGCAAGATGCTGAAAAAAATTTTACTTTAAGAAAGTTATGGAAATAAAAATGATAAATACGCCTTACATTCATACAAAACTTATTTGTTATTTTATTTTTAATAGGAAGACAGAGCATACAGTGCATTATATTTGTGCTTAAACATTATATTTTAAAAAATTATATTCTATCCCGTTAATATAAAAAAAAAAAAAAAAAGGTTTATATTAATGTATTTAATTAACACATTTACATAGTTGTAAAAATTATTTCCTATGTAATAAGAAAATGAAATTAAAAAAACATTTAATAATATATATAAGAAATTTCAAATTATTCATTTTATTATTTTATTTTTTTTTTTTTTAGAACATTTATTTTTATTTTATTTTGTTCAAAGTGAAATTTTTTTCGTTATTAAAAAGATAATTTTGAAAAACTTCAATTATTTTAAAAAAAAAAAAGAATAAAAAAAATATACAAATAAAATAAATTATTCCTTAATTATTTAAGTATTACATAGTAATATAAATTTAAAAAAAAACAAATATATAAATTGTTGTTAAAAAGAAGAAAGTTTTTAATTTTAATAAATAATTATAAAATAATTGTATAATTTTCTTATTTTCTTGTATAATTAGTAGTTAATCCAACATAATTTGCAATTTTTTCAATTTTGCATTCTTTATTTTCTGCTTTATTTTCTTGTAAAATTTTTGTATAATCATTTAGAACATTTTTATAAATTAAATATTCATTTAATATTTCATCATTTTTCAATAATTTTTCTTTTCCCCAATTTTTTAATTCTTTCAAAACGTTTTTATCCAGTCCATTTTTTTCCTCAATTTTCAAAACTCGTAAAAAATTTTTAAAAACTTTAATATTCATTTTACATGATATTTTTTTTTTTTTTTTTTGTTATTCCATGTAATTTCATTAAAATATTAGTTAACATATATATAACACAATTTATTATTAGTCTTATTTCTTTTTTTTTATCATTCACTCTAACATTAAAAAAGAAAAAATATGTATTTAAAAATATTAAATCATACTTAATTGAATTTTTTTTTTTTTTTTTTTATAAAAAAATACTTAATACGATGCAATAAAATAATTAAGTTATATTAATATAATTTCACTAAAGTTTTAAATAAATCTAATAAATTATGAACATATTATGTTTATATCTTTAAAAATTCGTTTAAAAAGAATTAATATATTTTTTTTTTTTTTTTCAAGTTTCACTTATTTTCTTTTTTATGAAACCTTTTTTTATTATAGATGTATGTTCATACAATGGTTTATTTTTAAAACAATTAAAATGTGAATATATGTAATTTACAATTTTTTATAAATATTAAATATAAAAATTAATTAATGAAATAAGATATACAAGGTAAATATATTTAACAAGTAAATTAATTATTTATACACATTTGTACATAATTTTTATGTTTGAAAATAAAAATATTTTTTTGTTTGTTTAATTTCTTTTTCTTATTAAGGAAAATATTAGATTTTACATAGATCATTTTTAAATGAAATATAGAATTTTTTTTTTTTTTTTATATACATATAATTTATATGCTTTTTAAAATGAATGAATAAATTAGAAGATAACGAAATCTTTGTAATATATTATTCTTTATGTTTTTATATAATTTTATAAAATGATTTATGCTTCTTTTAAAATATAATTAAAATTATGAAAAATATTTTAATAAATAATATTCTATAAATATTGACATTTTTTTTCACTTTTTATAGAGATATGTTGTGAATAATAAAAATTTTAAAAAGTTTTAAAACAATGATTCAATGTTTTATTAAATGGTTTAAAAAGATAATTAAATTTTTTAATATTACAAAAAAAAAAAAAAAATTTATAAATATGTTAGTATATATATGCACTACAATAATAATAGTTATAAAAGTCCTTTATTTAAGAAAATTTATTTTATATTATGTCAACAAATAATAAATTATTTATCGGAATGTTTTAAAAAATAGAAATTGTGTTTATTTGTAAAAAAAAAAAAAAAAAAAAAAAAAAAAAAGGTAAAATTAAAACATATTAAAAAAATAAACACATAAAATTAAATAACAAGGATAAATAATAATTTATAGTGTTTGCATTTCAGGAATTGGTTATAAAAAAACTTGAAGGAAATAAAAATGGATGCTTTTTGTATAAAAATTTTTGTATGTTATTTACTTTTAATTTTATCACTTGTAAAAATATGGAAAAATAAAATGAAAGCACAAAAATAGTAATGTAAATTTAATATTGATTATTTATTTAAATTAAAATATATTTAATATATATATTTAACAATGCGAATAATTTTCAAAAAAAGTATTATATTTTCATTATCTCTCTAATATTATTAAAAAAAAAAAAAAAAAAAAAAAAAAAAAACCATATTCTTTTATTAAATACGAGCAATAAAAAATCCTACAATTATGAAAACATAAGAAAAGAAAATTTTATTATCTCATTTTCGTTTTTTTATCATTTTAGCAATGCATAAATGTACTAAATACCAATAAACAAAAAATATATATTTACTGAAAAATTCCATCTATGAATTTTATAATTTTTCTTCTTATTCTTATAAGAATATTTGTAAAGGTATTTGTAAAAATGTTTGCAGGTACTCATTCATTCTATTAATATTTATATTTTATGTTATTTTTTATTTTTTATTTTTTTACATTAAATACAATTTTCTACTTTTTTTTATTAAATTATGTTTAATAATTTTATGATTTTTTTATTTATGCTACCATTTTTTTAAAAAAGATAGAGTATATAAGATTCATCTATTTTTTTCCATGATATTCATTTATTCAAACAAAAGTTCTCAGTTTATCTGTTAAGCTTAAATATATTATTATCTTAATTTGAATTTAAAATAGTATATAATTTTTATTCGCATTCTTATGATCATCTTATTCTGTTTAACCTACTTTTTTTTTTTTTTTTTTTTTTTTTTTTTTATTTGTGTTAATTTTCATTATTATCATTTGATGAAACATATTTATTTAATAAATTGTCAATGACAAGTCCATTAGCTTCTGTATTTTTATTCATTTTTAATTTTTCATTTCTATCATTACACACTACTATACCTTCATTATCATTTTTTTCATTATTAAATGTTTCATTAATAGTTTTGCATTCCATGTTTTCTATTACTTTCTCATGAGGAATATTTTCATTTAATATATGATTATTAATAATTTCATTTTCAGTATTATTATCGTTATTCTCATTTACTCTGTTATGTTGACTGTTATCTATATTATCATTTATATTTTCACTAGTTTCTTTTGAATTATTGTTTTGGTTGCTTTCTTCTTCATTGTTAGAGTTATTTAAATTATTTTCATTATTTGAATTACTTATATTAGCAGTATTTTCTATTATTTTACATGAGTTATTTAAAATATTTGAATTTTCTGAAGTATTTAAAGATTTTAATGAATTTATATTTTTATCACTGTTATTAGTATTATCATTAATTTTACCTAAATTATTCATTTCTGTAGTAATGCTGTTTACATTATTTAAATTATTAATTCCTTGTGTATCTTCATTATTATTTAAGTCATTTAAAGGATTTATTGATGAATTTTCATTATTTTGTGTGTTTGAAATATCATTACTTGCATTCTTATTTTTTAAATTAAGCATTTGATAATTTGATATATTTTGATTAATTAATTTATTTTTAAAATTTGGTGATGGAAACTGACCATACTGATCATTTCTTTGATAATTCAAATTATAAGAATTGAAATTCATGTAAGGATTTATATTATTGTATGGATAAGAATTAACAAAATTAGAATATCTTTTATATACATTTTTATTCATTTTATCATAATTCATATTTTGAAAATTGCTTAAATTATAATTATAATTCATCATATCATTATTCATATAAGGAAATTTCAAGTTATACATGTTATTATATAGTGGATTAGGAATATTAATAGAATTTCTGTTAAGCAAATAGGCATTGTATTTGTTTATGGGGTTATTATTTAAAGTATCCAAATAATTCATATTGTTATTCATAGTGTTTTCTATATTATTTATATTATTCATTATGTTCATATTATTACTCATATTACTGTTCATATTATTACTCATGTTATTTATATTACTATTTATACTGTTCACTGTATTGCTTCCATTTAGGCCATTTTTATTATTTGTTATGTTAGCATTTAAATTATTCATATTATTAACTAAACCATTTCTTAAATTATGTTTTGAAATATTTTGTGAAATAAATAAATTTTCATTTTTCACATCTTTACAATTGTTTTGACTAAACATATTTCCTGAAGCATTATTAAGCATATACATATTTCCATTATACATATAATATTGATTATATAAATGTGGATTACACATATATGGTAAATTATAAGCTCCCCCGTTATTTAACTTATTATTTCTCATATTCAAAACATTGTTTTGTAAGCTATATGCATTACTCATATTTGCATTTATAAAATTATTTGGGTTCATATTGGAATTATAAAATTTGGGATCTATATTTTTATAAAAGTCTTCATTTTTTTTATTTTGATTTAAGCTAAATTCATTTAATTGAATTTTTTCATTTTCATATTTATTAGTTTTATGACTTCTTGTACCATACTTAATGGAAACAACTGGTTTTGTAGTTCTTTTGTTATAACTCAAATTTCTTAATTTAGTAGTATTATATACATTTCTTTTATTTTCATTAATATTTTTATTCTCTAACAGCATAGAATTATTATTATCGACACCATCAATAATTTTTTTTTTTCTACCTCTCTTTTTCTTTTCAGATTTTTTTTTTCTTCCTCTCTTTAGTGGAATTTTAATAACATTACTGTTGTTTGTATTCATATTATTTTTTAATTTTAAAAAGTTACTATTTTTATCATTAACAATATTATTATCATTTAGAATATTCATACTATCACTATTTTCTATGCTACTATCAATATATTGTTGCTTTTCAGAAATTTCAGTATCATTATTAGATTTCCAGTTTTTCAAATCTATTATATTTCCTTTTTGAGCATTCCTTGCAGCTAATCTAAAAGACCTATCATTTTTTTGATAATTATTTTTTTGTAATAAGTAAGGATTAATATTTTCATTTTTTTTTTTCCTCATTTTATCATTATCGAAATTAAAGTATTCTACTTGCTTATGTTGTCTCTTTTTTGAAGTAATTAATGATTCATTTATATTAAAATCAGCTAGTAATTTTTTCTGTTGTTTTAACATTCTACTCCTATTTCTTTTATCTCTACAAATTTTATTATGTTTTTCTATAATGGTTTCACCAATATCTTTTGTATTAGCATCCTTCAAAAGATTGTTACCAATATTATATAAAACATCATCATCATCACATATAAATTCAAAAACTCCAGTTTCTTCCTTTTCAATATATAATTTAAATTCAATGTTCATAGTATCATTAAATATAAACCAATATTTATCATTATTTATTTTTCCCAAATAACCATTGTTGTAATCAATTTTTTGGTTACTTAACATTTTTTTTAAATTATTACTTTGACATAGAACTAAATTTAAAAGCATTCTTACAATTCGTAACTTCGATATAACAGTTAAATCATCCCATTCTAAAAATATTTTTTTAGTTAAACTATTTCCATCAATAATTTCTTCATTTTTATCATTATAACTTTCATTTTTTTTTTTTTCATTTCCATCTTGGATTATGCTATTTTCATTTATGTTATTTTCATTTATGTTATTTTCATTTTTATTAATTTCATTTTTATTAATTTCATTTTTATCATGTTCATCCTTGTTATCTTTATTTTCATTTTCTATATTTTCTTTATTATCAATATTTTGAATTTCTTTTTTCTGATCAATATCTTTTTTATTTATTACTTCATCACTTTCTTTTCCTTCTTCATTTTCTATAATTTTCAGACTGTTAGTGTTATTTTCTTTTTTTATAACATTACTTATTCTTTTATTTTCTTCATTCTCATCTTGAATAGCATTTTTATTTGTCTCTTCATTTTTGTTGAAAGATTCATTAGAACATACAAATGAATCCATTTGATTATTGAAAAATATCGTTTTTGTATTATTGTTAATGGAATCATTCTTATTTTTATTTTCTCCTTTTTTATTTTCACCATTTTCAGTGTCTTCATTTTCTTCAGTTTCTTCAGTTACTTCTAACTCATCTTCTTCTCCTTCTTTTCGAATGTCAACATTTTCCTCTTCCTGTTCTTCATTTTCAATTTCTTCATCTTCTTCCTCATTTTCATCTTCATAATCATTTATATCTTCATTTTCTACTGTTTCTTCTTCAAACAATTCATCAGATTTAATATCATTTTTTAATTTTTTAACTTTTTTATCTCTTCTCTTTCTAGAATTTCCTAAATTATTTTTTATTTCTTTTTTACATTCTAAAACTGGAAATAATTCATCAAAATTTACTACCCTAACTAAAGATGAACGCTTATCTTCAAATATCCTAGATATATATTTATACATAAATATAGATTTAGAATTAAAATACCTACCCAAAAAAAAAAACAATTTTAAAATAAAATTTCTACCAAATTCTGTTGTTTCTTTTCTCTGAAACATCTCATCTATATCCTTAAAATTCCAGTTAATTTTTAAAACATCTTTAAATATAGTTAAAAATAACAAAACCATAACATAATTGGGATTATTAATAAATAATATAGATTCATCATCTGCATATTTATGTAACTTCATTTGTTTAAT